TTGCTGTGGTCCCAACGGGATCCGCAGACTTACTTGTCTCCTCCTCCAATTGTTGCTCATAAAGACGAATCCGAAGGAGAGTCCTGAACTGCCAATCATGAAAGTTCGCCGCATCACCTGCATAGATGTATGATCCACTCTTCGTCTCAAGTGGTGCCGACGAATGGCGCTCCTGGCTGAAACGAAGGCCATTGATCGACATGATGCTCGCTCCGTTCGGAGTCGAACAAGAAGAAAAACTGCAGACGATAAGATTCTTATCGTCTGCTTTCAGGCGTTAACAAGTGCCTGCCCTGGTCAGGGTCAGACAGATTCCCGAACCACGACACACTCGAAGTTCAGTTGATTCCCAAAGTTACCAGACTCAAATTCACAAAGAGTTCCCTGGGTCACTGACGTACCACCGGATGCGGGTCGTCACCCGCTCCGCTACCAATCTGAATTGGAAACGGGATCGTCAAATGCCCAACTTTTACCACGGCAGCGCGGTATGACTCAAGGGCCCTAAAGCCAAATGTCAACGGGGCATGTGATCACTTGGCTATACAAAATATACATTAGACAGGTCAAACTCACACGATTATATACGTATATATATATGTGTGTGTGTGTGTGAGTAGATAAATAAATACATGCACCATGATGCAGGCATTCCAACTAGAGTTGGACCCGGTCTTCTCAAGATCAAGCACATGTCATGAACCGATGGTTTAAAGCAGCTCCGAAACAGAGGTGAGGATTCCGGCTGCAGTGCACAGGGCTCCGTTCACCTCGGCAGGAAAAGGAAGAGCGCTTCGCAGCCAGAGAAAAATGGACAAGGGACCGAAGGGACAAGGTACCAGGACACCTTTAAGCTCTTCCTCTGGAATTTTCTGGATGCATGCTTCTTCCTGTTTCAATTGATGTTGTACACATTTGTACACTGATTAGTGGAGTGGGAGCGAGTTGTGGAAAGTTTTCTCAAGTATATTATTGCATATGGAATTCCAATGGTTTGTTGTTGGGGCTGGGAGGGGATGTTTGATAGTTGCCTCCTAGAGCTCATTTTTTTCAGAAGGAGGGAGGCCAACAATCATTACTAGACATATACATATATTCTGCGTTGCTACTGTTTTTTTGTCCTGTCATTTATTGTATCTTACTTGGCACCACTTCCAAAGAATGTCAACGTTTCCAAACCAATCAATTCCTTCCACACACTTAAGGTAAGCACCAACACTCCAAGCTGTAACAAGCGTTTAATTGATTTTAATTGTGGCCCCATGTGGCCCCTATGAACCCAATGGCTGAATAGTGGGATTGCTGGTCTGGTACTGAATACTGCCAAGGACCTTCCCGATATAAGTCCCAAGAGAGAACTCATCTTTGCTACAGCTTTGAAAGGAAGAAGGCCACGAAGAGAGGGCAGAAAAAAAGAGAGGAAAAAGGAAAGAAGGAAAGAAAAGGAAGAAAGGAAAAAGAAAAGGAAAATGAAGGACAAGAAGAACAAAAGGAAGTACAAGGACGCAAGAACGAAGAAGAAAAAACCAACAACATATAATATGTAATATGTATTAATATGTAAAAAAATACAGTAGTATATTAATTATATTATACATGTATTATGAAATGAAAGAAAGACCTTATCCGAGGTTCACAAAGTTCTGAGCTTAGCAATGAAATAAAATCGATAAATAGAACTGAATGACCAAAAAAATCCTTACAGATCCATTACAGTAGGTTCATATTAATGGTATTAATATGTATTAATGACCCCTGGTCCTGGCAAGACTTTTTCGGGACTTGCTATTATGTTTGAAGTGGTCCACTAATCAATACTCAACATATGTCAACATCGCTGGAGAGTTGCCATGATCGGCACGTTTCTGCCCATCTTGGAGAGTCCACCGCCGAGCCCTGGCAGAAAGCGCATCAGAGCGTCAACCAAAGCCAAGATCTTTGCGATCTTTGCGATCTTTGTGTCGCCCAATTTGACGCTGAAATGATTTAAGGAATACCCTACGATAGCCTACGGGAAGGATCGGTCTTGTGTGTTTTCTTTCAGCAATGAGAGGGGCCAAATAAAAAGGAGAAAACAGAAGTTGCATTTTGCGGATGACCCTGTTTCCAAATCATTCTATATAAATCCTCCTTCACAGGCTTTGCTTGCTGGTGTTGCATCAGATTCCAAGTCTCTGCAAATATTCCCATGCTGCCCATGCCTTCTCAGTTTTCTTATTCGTTTTATTCGTCTTCTCATTCAACTGAAGGCAAAACGACTCCTTTTTATCAAGTCTATCCGTCTATCCCCTTTTATCCTTTCACAAGCAAGGTGCCCATGTCCCCCATATCCTGGTCCAAAGGCAAAGGCCAAACCATTGCTGCTCATGAGGTATCCCAAATACCTCTTTCACACGGCAACATTGTTCAGCATGTCATGACATGTCGTGACCTTCAAAATAAATACGTCAAATTTCACATCTGACATGCCCAGAAGCCCGATCGCGCATTTCATGATGAC